TCGATGCACAGGAGGGGCACCTGGCTGGCTCAGAGGTTCCTGCCATCTAGGAGTCAACTGCAAGAAAGAAAACCAGACACAGATCTGAGTAGTGTGGCACATGACCCCAGCCCCCATGATCCCTCTACTCACCGTCACCCAGGCAGGTTCTCGTGTCACTGGCTCTGACCAGACTTGGACAATGTGCTGTCATCTTCTGGGATACCTGAGAGAGAGAAAGACACAATTAGAGGGCATTTCTGAAGTTGCAGTGGATCCCTGCTCCTGCTGCTGCCTCCACAACTCACCTTCAATGCTCATCTGCTCCCAAAGGTTAGCTGGATGGCACCTGCAATCAAAACAGCTCAGTGCTTCATTGCTGATCCTTTTAATACTCGGAGATTACCTACAAGGACAGCTCCAGGGCACCGAACCGTGTCCATCACCTCACTGTGAGTTGGCTTCGGCCCTGTGAGGCTGCATACATCTCCTGCAAAAAAACCCAGAGGCAAATGTGAGTACTGAGATACAAACCAAGAGTATGTTGATCCCATGGAAGTTTCTGTCTGACACCCCTTGACCGTGGCCTCTTACAGGCAGGGTCCCCATCACAGTGGACTGTACGTCACCTGGGGGAGTGAGAAAAAAAGTTACGGGGTGTTCCTGAAAGTAAGGGAGACCCCAGCACCTCCTCAATACCTCCCCGACTCAACCTCAATGCTCCTCCTTTGCCAAAGGCAGGCAGGAGGGCACCTGCAACTGGAAAAGGTCCATCTTTAATTGATGAGCCTTGTAGTAGTAGGAGACTACTGATGAGGACAGCTGAAGACCATCAAACCTAAACTGGCAAGTGGCTCCGGCCCTCTGAGGCTGCACACCTTCTCTGCAAAGTAAAAAAGCTAAAGGCAAATGTTCACACTGAGATACTGCCTGAAAGGATGGCTTTCCTGGGGTAGCTCCTATCTGCCTCTCCTCCACAGTCACCTCTTACCCGCAGGGGCCCTGAAGCACTGGACTGTCTGTTAGAAGGTGGCAGAACCCCTGGAAAACACAAGAAACAAAGCATGTGCACAGATTCACCACAACACCTGGAAAAGACCATCTAGTCCTGTCCTGGAGTCAATGCTCACCTTGCTCACCGGGACTCACCCGGATCACCTCCCCTCCGGTGCCTGGAGCCTCCTGGGCCCAGGGCTCTGCATCTCAAAACAAAGAAAAAACAAACCCAAACAAG